CTAAGCCTTAAGCCCTACACCCTAAACCCTAGTCCCTAAGCCCTAAAGGCCCTAAACCCTAAACCCTAAACCCTGTCAGCGCTGTAGGTGTCAGCCCTATGAATCGTGAACCCTACAGAAACCCTCAAAACCCGCCTCCCCCCCCCCCCCTCCCTCCCCCCCCCCCCCCCCCCCCCCCCCCCCCCCCCCCCCCCCCCCCCCCCCCCCCCCCCCCCCCCCCCCCCCCCCCCCCCCCCCCCCCCCTTCCGGCTAAAGCGCCAAAGCCCTAAACCCCCCTCGCAAAGGCCCTACATCCCCCAAATGAATCTAAGCCCCCTGTGCTTGGACCTCAACCCTCAACCCTAAACCCCAAACCCTTAACTCCAAACCCTATAACCCTAAACCCAATCCCTAAGCCCTAAACCCCTGTGCTTGGGCCCCAACCCACCCATCCCACTCGCATCCTGAGGCGAAGCACTCATTGAGCAACGATCGCTTGGCGAGACCGATCCTCCAGTCGCTCAGACGGCAGCAGAGCGTTTAGGGCTTCGGGTTTAGGGTTTCGGGTTTGGGGTTTCGGGTTTGGGTTTAGGGTTTGGGTTTAGGGTTTAGGGTTTAGGGTTTGGGGTTTGGGGTTTAGGGTTTAGGGTTTAGGGTTTAGGGTTTGGGGTTCAAACCCAAAACCCCAAGCACAAAACCCTCGGTCCGACTCACCAGCTGCTTGGAGGCCAGGGGCTTAGGCAGAGTTTCGGGTGCTACCCTAAGTGTTAGGATTTGAGGTTCAGGGTTTAGGGTTTAGGGTTTAGGGTTTAGGGTTTAGGGTTGTCGGAGTAGTAATTTGCAATCTCATTTCCTTATGGTCCCTTTATACTTATACTCCCATAACCCTCCCCCCCACAAGTCATTAAGGCCCCCAGAATACCCCTAAACCCAAAACCCTGACAGATTAGGAGCTCGCGGCTTAGGATTTTAGAGTTTACCCTGAGCCCTATAGGGGGTTTAGGGTTTAGGGTTTCGGGTTTCGGGTTTCGGGTAGGAGTTTACAGTTCCGGGTTCCCCTCAAACCCGAAACCCTAAGCCATAAACCCAAACCCCAGACCCCCTGCAAGGTCCTTGCTGACACTGCAGCACCAACTTCTGGAACAAGGAGGGTTTAGGGTTTAGGGTTTAGGATTAGAGAGCCCCATGTGCAGAAGCTTATGCTTCGTGACTGAGAAGTGCCCCTAAACCCTAAACCCTAAACCCTAAACCCTAAACCCTAAACCCTAAACCCTAAACCCTAAACCCTAAACCCTAAACCCCCACACGGTTTTAGGCGGGTTCAGTGCCGTTCGCAGGAGGGGCAACTCTCGGCACTTAAAGCATGGAAGGACGAAGTTTAGGGTTTTAGGGGTTGAGGGTTTAGGGGTTTAGGGGTTTAGGGTTTAGGGTTTAGGGGTTTAGGGGTTTAGGGGTTTAGGGTTTATAGGGCTTAGGGTTTAGGGTTTAGGGCTTAGGGTTTAGGGTTTAGGGTTTAGCTTTTAGGGCTTTGTGAGGCAATTCCAGGCTCCCCCCCCCCCCCCCCTGCGAGCAGCAGGACAACTGGATGCCAGGCAGCTCGCGCCCCTGGATTCTCAAAGGGTGAAAGGTTTGTGGCTAAGGGTTTGGGATTTTGGGTTTAGGGTTTAGGGCTTTTGGTTGGGGGTTTGGGGTTTAGGGTTTAGGGGTTATGGTTTAGGGTATGTTGGTCGCGTGGGTTCGTGGGTTTCGTGTGCATGCATCAGCCACCCTAGCCCTTGAGCCCTAAAACCCCAAATGCCCAACAGTCTAAACCCTAAACTCTATATCCAAACCCTAAACCCTAAGCCACACCTTGAGATGAATCTTGGTTTTCATGGGGAAGGGTTGGTTGTGGGTAAAGGTTGAGGTTGGGAGCTTCCCTGTCCTATCAGCCCTCACCCCCACCGTACTAGAGCCTTGATCCCTACACCCTAAACCCTCCAACTCTCTTGCCCATGAACCCTGAACCCTACATTTCTCACCCTACCCCCCAAACCCTGATTGCTAAAGCCTAAACCCTCATCCTCAAGCCCTGAGCCCTCCGCTCGCTGCTCATTCAGGAACACTCTCTGGGCCCTCGCGCGGCTTCGAAACGCTTTGGGCAACCTCCCCGCAGACCTTGCAAGCAAGGTGGCAAGGCCCTAAACCCTAAACCCTGCCTTTACCCTAAACCCTAAACCCGTTACACTTGGGCTTATGGTTTCGGGGAGCTTCTGAAATCATTGAGGCTTATCGGGTTTAGGAGATCCTGCGGGCCTTGGGGCCCATAAAGCCATGTGCATGATGAGGTTGAAGCCCTGAATCTGCAAGTCGGCCTCTTCCGGTTTGGCTTAGGATTCTGGTCTAGGGTTTAGGGTTTAGGGTTTAGGGTTTAGGGTTTGGGGTTTGGGGTTTGGGGTTTGGGGTTTAGGGTTTAGGGTTGAGGGGCTCCTATTGTCAGCACCTGCCTATGAAAGCTACGGTATTGGACCTGCCTAGGCTGGGTTCCTGCTAAGCAACTTATGGCGTTTAAGTTACCCATCGAATCGCATCGTATAGGCAAACCCTACACCCTAAACCCGAAACCCTAAACCCAAAACCCTGAACCCTAAACCCTCAACCCTCAACCCTCAACCCTAAACCCTAAACCCTAAACCCTAAGCCCTAGAACCACTCGGGCTCCAAGCGGCCTGGAAAGCTCTGAGCCCTAAATTTTATCAGCCCTGCTGGAACCCGCCCTGAGGCAAAATAAGCCCTAAACCCCCTAAATCCTAACGATTAGGGGGTTCGGATTTAGGGTTTAGGGTTTAGGTGGTTTAGGGGTTTAGGGGTTTAGGATTTAGGGTTTAGGGGTTAGGGGGTTTAGGGTTTCGGGGTTTAGGGTTTAGGGCTAGTAGGGCTTAACCCCCCTGAACCCCCCTAAACCCTAAACCCCCTTGAACCCCTTGAACTCGGTACACCGTCTACGCCCTCTAAACCCTAAACCCTGAATCCTTAGCCAGACATCCAGCCATATCTATCCAGCCCTGAAACACAGAGGGTTTGGATATGATGATATGATTGGATGTGGACGAATTCCTACTTCGGGAATCACATTCGATGTGCCTCATGGAACTACAAGTTCTCATAGCTGATATATACTATACTACCCTTCTCACGGCAACTTCCTTTACGTTCTTGGCAGGGACCTAGCTCGGAGCCCAAATTTCACGCCACAACAAGAATCGACGTAGGCCCAACATCAAAACATCCTCAAGCTTACACCCTGAACCTTAAACTCTAAACCCTAAACCCCAATCCCTAAGCCCTAACCTTAAACCCTAAACCCTAAGCCCTAAGCGCTAAGGCCTAAGCCCCAAGCCCGAAGCCCTTACCCTAAACCCTAAATCCCTACATCCAACCAGATCTCCCCAGCCCTGTTCGTGAAGTGAAACGCTGTAGGCCGCCGCTGCTTTGGCGAGCAACGCCTCCAATAAGGCCTCCCGGAGGTTAGGGTTTAGGGTTTGGGGTTTGGGGTTTAGGGTTTAGGGTCTAGGGTTTAGGGTTTAGGGTTTCGGGTTTAGGGTTTAGGGTTTAGTTAGCATGTACCTGATAAAGAGTATTCCAGGGTTTGGGGTAACTATTTGGGGGGGCCTTGGGTTCATTTTAAGGGTTTAGGGTTCGCATGTACCCTGTGTTTCTTTTTTGTGTTGTGGGGGAGGGGTGTCTTTTTGCGGGTTTAGGATGCAGTGCTGCGAATGATGACCTATGCGAGGGCTCGTCATGCGTGTCCTTTTAGGAGTCTTAGCACGCGATCCTACAAGGTGCTACAACTGAGCCTGTATACGGCTATAAGCCTGACTAGTAGCCCTAAACCCTATACGGCTATAAGCCTGACTAGTAGCCCTAAACCCTAAGCCCTAAACCCTGAAAACCAACCCCTCAATCGTTTTTGCAATTGGTGAGCTCGAGGTGAGGACGGGTTCAGGAGCACGGGGCTGCGTGAATTGTAGTGGCTCCGTGTTTTTGCCGGACTGCTTAGGCCGAATCTCCTGAAAATACGTCCGTCTATCATCCCAAGCGAATCGCCAGCGCGAGTGAACTCGAACCTCTAGAAAAACCTAAAATGTCATTATTCAATTGAAGAGGTAGGGGCTATTCTAACAGTACAGAAATTGCAGGTTTGGGTTTCGGCTTCTTTGACCCCCCCCCCTCCCCCCAACAAAAAATCAAAAAGGAAAATACTCCACGCTTCTCAGTCTCAATCCTATATGCTCACAGGTTGGGATGTTCCCCCTTATCCTAGCAGTCCTCAGTCTGGATGATACAGAGGTACCATAGTTAATGCCCATGAAGGACTGTTGAACATCCCAACCCTAAACCCTAGACTCTCGACCCCTCCCCCCCCTTTGCCGGTTAGTATAAGGGGGAACATGCCCAGCTGACAGGCCCTGAGACGGCATTTGAAGCCGCAGGACATCAGCAACGGCTTGTTCCTCGGCTTCATCCCAGTAAGAACCTTTGGGCTGCGTGTTGGGGTTTACGGTTTAGGGTTTAGGGTTTTTTAGGGTAAACCCAAAGGCTAATGTAGGGGTCGGAAAATTTACGAACACTATTCCCCGATGGCCCCTTTTATACATATACTACACTAACCCCCCCCCCCAAAAAAAAAAAAAAAAATGCTTCTTATTGTTTATGCCCCTATGTTATCTATGCTCGTCTTTGGCCAGTAACCCTAAACCCTAAACCCTAAACCCTCTTAACCGCCTAAACCCCCAAACCCCCCAAACACTAAACCCTAATCCTCGTCTTTGGCCAGTCGCTCAGCCAGAGGTTCTTGATGTACCATGGCCTGCCCACCTCATGTTCGTGCTTGGGGTGTGGGGTCTACAGTAATTTAGTGGTCGGAAGAATCACTAACAATGTTTTTCCCTTTTTCTTAAAACCCTACTCCAATTTTTGAGGCCCCTATATTACTTGGGTGAAGCACCCATTGCAAGCCCTTGAATCTCGAAAGGTGGGCCATGGCAGCACTGGACCTGGCGCCAGACGAGCAGGCGGGCTTGTAGGGTTTAAGGTTGAGCGCTTAGGGTTTTCGAGTTCAGGGCCCGCCCAACACAAACCTGAAGCCTTGCTTGTGGACACCAAAATGAGGGTTTCCGAAAATGGGGGTACCCTTTGTGGTGTGGTGCCTTTAAACGATCCTATTCTATTTGGGGCATAAATAAATGCACTACCCCTATTTTGGGAAATGCCCAAATGGCGGTTGCCGCAAGGGCAGGAAGCCCACGCGCAGTTCTTGGGATTTCTAGGGTTTAGGGCTAAGGGTTTAGGGCTTAGGGTTTAGGGTTTAGGGTTAGAGGTTCAGGGTTTAGGGTTGAGGGTCGAGGGTTGAGGGTTTAGAGTGTCCAAGCGCGCGAAGTGGCCGAAAGCCGATGGGCGGTCACAGCCTCGAATTTCCTGGAGTTCGCGGCCACGAGCCCCAGGAGCCTTAAAGCTCCACTCAAACCCTTCAGCCTCAAACCCTCCACCCATGGCAGCCTAAGCTCTAAACCCTAGAAGCCGTAAACCCTAACCCGCAAGTCCTAAGCCCCTGGAGTTTTAGGGCTTGTAATAGGGGTTATGGATTTAGGGTTTGAGAAGAAATACCATGAGAGCGCCAAACCCCCTCGCCGCGCGAGGTGCGCCTGAAGAGCCGCGGTCGCGAAGCTGGCCCGCCTCCGCCGGCACCAAAGCCGGCAGCGGCCGTGCAGGAGGGAGCGTGGACGTGGTGCACCCGCCGCAGTGGCTGCTGCAGCAAGTGGGTCAAGTCGGAGTGGGCCCTGATCCAGCACTTGGTCTCCAAGCACGGGTGCTCCTGGGAGGAAGGTCGTGCTGAAGCTCGTTTGGCCTGGTCCAAGTACGACGTGGAGGAGCCGGACTTGAGAAAGCCAAGCGAGCCCTCCCAGCCGCCCAAGGTCAAGGTCAGCAAGGAGCCAGGCGATGGGGATGGTGGTGGCTGACCCCTCAATGTGCTCCTAAACCCCCCAGAGCCCTAAACCCTGAACCCCTAAACCCCTAAACCCTAAACTCCTAACCCTAAACCCGAAGAAGCTCAAGTCCCTCAAGTCCCTAAACTCCAAACTCCTAGGCCCTAAGCCCTAAGCCCTAAACCCTAAACCCTAAACCCTAAACCCTAAACCCTAAACCTTCCCTCCCTCAGGCGCGGCTGATGCCCTGCCTGGCTTCGGCCGCCCTCGCCGACCCGGAGCTCTTCCGGGCCCAGGAGCTGGCGAACAGCCCTGCGGCCTTGAAGACGGGTTTAGGGTTTAGGGTTTAGGACGTAGGGTTTCGGGTTTAGGGTTTAGGGTTTAGGGTTACGGGATGTAGGGATTTAGGGTTGTTAGGGTTTGGGTTTCAGGGTTTATGTAGGGCTTAGACAATTAGCAGGCTTTAGGGAGTAGGGTTTTAAGTTGAGGGCTTTATCAGGGTGTAGGGTTCAGGGTGATAGAATGTTTTTTTCGGGTCTTAGGGTTCCGAGTTTGAGACTCGGAGGTGCTAGGGTTTTGGGATGCAAGGGGTCGAAGACTATGTGTTTGTGCCGTTTCGAGCATCTGAGTTTTTTTACGTTTGCTCATTGGCTTCCTGTAGGGGTTGAGAAGGTTAAGGGCTTTGCGGAGTTGGGGCTTAAGATCTTACGAAAGGCCTAAACCCTAAACCCTAAACCCTAAACCCTAAACCCTAAACCCTAAACCCTAAACCCTAAACCCTAAACCCTAAACCCTAAACCCTAAACCCTAAACCCTAAACCCTAAACCCTAAACCCTAAACCCAATAGAAGCTCACCGGAAACCCTCGGGACCAAAAAGATCCAAGCATGTTTAGGAATCCCCGCTGAACCCAAAATCCCTGAACCACCCAAAGCCTAAACCCTACCACGCGCACCACGCGACGTTTACAGGGCCCATGAGCATGCTATAGGGATGATAGAGGGTTTAGGGTTTAGGGTTTAGGGTTTAGAGTTTGTAGCGTTTGAAGGGTTTATAGGAATTATAGGCTTTGGGGGCATTTTGTCTAGGCGCTGGCCTTTGGTACAGGGTGGCGTGGCCGGCGCCTTCCCTGCCAATGGGAACATCGGTATCTCGCCCCCCATTCACCCACGAGAGTTTTGGGTACCCCACCAGTCCATGCGCCACCTCCCGTTTAAGTTCGGCCGCGCGTGGGCTTCTAAACATGGGGCGGGGTAGGGTTTTAGTTCCTTTTGAGACCCTAAACCCTAAACCCTAAACCCCAAACCCTAAACCCCAAACCCTAAACCCTTATCAGGGGGTTTTGGGGTTTCCCCCCCGTCCCTCTAAGCTAAGGCATCTGGGCCCTCGCCACCTGTGGCTCAGGCACTGGGATGGGGATGACCCAGATCTTGTAAGCCTAGACTCTACCTTAAGAACCCAAAACCTACTTTTTTGTAGGTTACTACTATAAACCTCCTTATAGGATTCTTAGGAAACCTACAAAAAAAGTAGGTGTTGGGTTTCCGAAGGTAGACCCCAAACCCCCAGTGCCCAGGGCTCTAGAGCCCTTCAATGGGCAAGAGAAGTAATCGATAGGCATTCCTGCTAAAAAAACCCCCAACCGAAACGCACTACAACTCGGAGAACCCTGAACCCTGAATGTCAGGGATCGTAAATGCATCTTCGGACCGTAGCCCCCACACTAACCTGAGTGCCTCGAAATGACTCCAGATCCGGTGAGGAGTCTCCAGGTAATCTCTTCTTGCACTGCAGAATCTTCCCTCCTTCAGCCTACAAGGATCAGAAGCCCCTAAACCCTAAGCCCTAAGCCCTAAACCCTAAACCCTAAACCCTAAACCCTAAACCCTAAACCCCCTCATTCCCAAACCCTTCGGGGGGCGCCCTCAGCTGTGAAGCTCCTCGGGTTTATGGTTTAGGGTTTAGGGTTTGGGGTATAGGTTCAGGGTTCAGGGTTCAGGGTTCAGGGTTCAGGGTTCAGGGTTCAGGGTTTAGGGTTTAGGGTTTAGGGCTTAGGGTTCAGGGTTCAGGGTTTAGGGTGTGGGGGAGAGGCCTTGCAAGCCAAGCTGCACAGCAGCTCACCATCTTCTGCGTGGAGCGACGGTTAAGGCTGGTCGAGTTCTCAGGCTCCAGACACCTCTCAGAGGGTCCATTTGTATTACTATTCTGGAATTAGGTACCCCAACACCATACTAAACAGGGTTTTGGGGTACCTAATTCCATAATAGTACTGCAAATGGACCCTCTGGGACGCAGGTGCTTGCGGTTTGGCGGGTTTCAGGGTTTCAGACGCAGGTGTTTGGGGCTCAGGGGGGTTCTGCTTTGATAGGGGTTCACAGATTCCCCGCGCTTCAAGTACCATGATGGTACCCTTAAGCCTTAACAGCCCTAAACCCCAAACCCTAAACCCCTAAACCCCTAATTTCAAAGTAAGGGCGTCAACAGGGACACCCAAGTCAGAGAACTGCCGATGAGTTGTAGCCGTCATGGGTAGGCCGAAGGGCTGGTGCGCTCATCGGTTTTCGCGTGTTACCCTAAACCCTAAACCCTAAACCCTAAACCCCAAACCCTAAACCCTAAACCCCAAACCCTAAACCCTAAACCCTAAACCCTCATGTTTGGGAGTTTCCGAAATTACGGGGGGGGGGGGGGGGTACCTTTTTCCTACTATTATTTGGGAAACTATGGCCCCTTATTTTTGTTGCAAACCCCCATATTTCTACGGTAAGGCCCTTGCTTAGAACAGCCCCGATGTATCTACGACGTGTTTCGTTGCATGCACCACTTTGCTCTCACAGACTACCCCCCCCCCCCCCCCCCGGGCTTCGATGTCAAGTGAGGAGAAGAAAACACAATTGCTTGAACCCTAAACGGCAAACCCGCAGCCTAAAAGAACCCCAAACCAAACCCAACAGAACCTGATAAAACCCTGAAACCCTAAAACCCTAAAATCGTAATACAATCCTGAAACCATGAAACCCTAAAACCCTGAAACCTTAAATCCTGCCCTAGAGCGTAACCTCTGCTTCAGACAGGGCCCTGCAGCCTATCCAGCTGGCTGCGGTAACTTGGGCCGTGCCTTGGTCGGATTAGCGGCTTGGGGCTTACTAGGGTTTGGGGTTTCGGGTTTAGGGTTTAGGGTTTAGGGACTTTAGGGACTTTAGGACTTTAGGACTTTAGGACTTTAGGATTTTAGGACTTTAGGACTTTAGGACTTTAGGACTTTAGGACTTTAGGGACTTTAGGGTTTAGGGGCTTTAGGGACTTGAGGGACTTGAGGGACTTTAGGGACTTTAGGGACTTTTTTAGGGGCTTTAGGGACTTTAGGGTTTAGGGGTTGGGTTTAGGCTTTAGGCCGAAGCACAACGTTCCTAGGGGGTTTTACAGGTTTAGGGCTTCAGTTTTTGGAGGCAAGGTTGGCAGCCCTCCCAACGTCATAGACCCCTAAACCTAGTTTAGGGCCCAGGGTTTAGGTTTAGGGTTTAGGGTTTAGGGTTTAGGGTTTAGGGTTTAGGGTTTAGGGTTTAGGCTTTAGGGTTTAGGGTTTAGGGTTGCATGTTTCTTGAAGAAGGGTGGGCAGGGCGGCAGCGCTCGCAGCATGGAGATGTGACATGGTGCCTACAACTGTAAACTCCAAATTAAACCTTCAGAGTTGGGATGTCCCTAACAGTCCTTAATAGGGATTATCCTAAGGGGTTATCAAGGACTTTTAGTATAAGGGGCAACGTCCCAACTTAAGATCCTAAAGCGGAACCCTACGCTTCAAAGCCCCAAACCTCAAGAAACTCTAAACCCCTAAACTTTCCTAAGCCCTCAACCCACTGATTTCGCAAACCCAAAACCCCAAAGCCCCCCAAGTAACTTTAAGCCCTGAAGCCCAAAAGCCCTACACCCATTGGCCCATATTGGGGTTTGGGGCTCAAGAATTAAAACCCTCTAAACCACAAAGCCCCCCAATAACCTTTAAGCCCTGAAGCCCAAAAGCCCTACACCCATATTGGGGTGTGGGGCTCAGGCTTTAACCCTAAACCCTAAACCCGAAACCCTAAACCCTAAACCCTAAACCCTAAACCCTAAACCCCAAATCCCTAAACCCATGGAGCCCTGACACCCACAAAGCCCCTCTTGCCTAAAACCCCCCCGCCCCAAGTAGCTCAAAACCCTAGACAGCTACATCCCATCTAGACCCCTAAACCTAGTTTAGGGTTTAGGGTTTAGGGTTTAGGGTTTAGGGTATCTTTGGTGAACTGAAACCTCACAAAGCGGATCCTGATCAGGTTGCGGCTGCGGGGCTGGCCGAACCAGTCTTGAGGCGCGCTCACGTGTGGCAAACAAGGTGGTTTAGGGTTTAGGGTTTAGGGTTTAGGGCTTGGGGTTTAGGGTTTGGGGCTTGGGGTTTCTGGTTTCGGGTTTAGGGTTTGGGGTTTTGTGGTTCAGAGTTTGAGGTTTAGAGGTTCTGGCGTCCGAGAGCTTGCAGTGAAGCCTAAGCCCCGAACGACATACCCACTGCAAACCCTACTTGGAGGTTCACGGATACTTTTGGCTGGAGTTAGGAGTAGGGCGTAGGGGCAGCTCTAGCTACAAGTGCTTGTCGCATTTTGTTTACTTCTAGCCATACTTATAAGTGTCCATGAACCTCCAAGTAAGCCTTGTACATCCTAAACCAGAAAAACTACCCTAAACCCTAAACCTACAGAACCTCGCCCCTTACAAGTTTCATTCCTTCGTCCCTCAGCGATTCCCCCCTCCGACCCTGTGCAACCCTTGCAAAGCCACACGACGCCCTTCCCAAAACCCTACTTAATAAGCCTTACAAAGCTCTCTAACACCCTTAGAATACCCAAACGAAACAAACTCCCTATCAACCCTTGTAGAACCCTTACAAAACCTTAGAAAACCCCATAAAGCCTTATAAACCCCTCCTAACAACCCTTATAAACCCTTGCAAAACCGGAACATGCCCCCAAACCCTAAACCCTAAACCCTAAACCCTAAACCCTAAACCCTAAACCCTAAACCCTAAACCCTAAACCCTAAACCCTAAACCCTAAACCCTAAACCCTAAACCCTAAACCCTAAACCCACCCTAAACCCTAAATCCTAAACCCTCCCAGGTCCTCCCCGGCGCCCCCGCCCCTGATGTCGCGCTTGGCTGGCGCGGCCTGCGGCCGCGGACCGGAGTTCGGTCCGCAGGAGGCGCGGCTGAGAGGGTTTAGGGTTTAGGGTTTAGGGTTTAGGTTTTAGGGTTTAGGGTTTAGGGTTTAGGGTTTAGGGTTTAGGGTTACCTGATGCTCCAGGCACCTGCAGTTTAGTAGTAGCCACCCTTTATAAGTGGTAGGTCTAACCCATAAAGCTGCAGCGGAGGAGGGTCCCAGGTAATGCAGCGGCTCAAGGAGTCCACGGTGTGTCAGCAGTTGGGGGGGTTCAGGGGTTTTTTGGAGGGTTTTGGGTTTAGAGTTTTATTATTATTATTATCACATTATTATTATGATTTTTCTTTTTTTCTTTTTTTTTTTTTGGGGGGGGGTGGTCTGGGATGCAGTGTTTAGGGTTTAGGGTTTAGGGTTGAGAGTTTACGATTTAAGGCTCAGGGTTTGGGGCTTAGGGTTTAGGGCTTCGGGCTACAGATGTGCAATCGTATCTTCGACCTGTAGACGGAGACACCAACCTTTGAGGCCGCCAAGGTTCTCGCATCTTTGTTTTTTCGGCGCTTTGAACCCTAGAATCCTTCTAGGGTAGCCAGCCCTAAACCCTAAAGACCTAATGTCTGTCGGATTTGTTGAACACCCTAAACCCTGAACCCTAAACCCTAAGCGCTAACCCTGAACCCTGAACCCTAAACCCCCCAAACCCTAAACCCCAAACCCTAAACCCTAAACCCTAAAGAATCCTTCAACTTTCCCAACAACAAGCCGGGAGGTTGCCAACATCAGCTGGGCCATGGCAATCGAAGCCGTCCACCACCCTGCCTTGCGTGACTCTTGGACAGATTTAGCTCGCCGGTTCTTTGGGGTTTAGCGGTTTGGGGTGGGTTCAGGGTTCGAAGGTCTGGGGTTTAGGGTTTAGGGTTCAGGGTTTAGCGGTTTTAGGGGTTCAGCTCACTGGTTCTTATGGGTTTAGGGGTGTAGGGTTTAGGGGTGTAGGGGTTTCGGGGTTTACGGGTGTAGGGTCTAGGATTTAGGCGCTTTGGTGTTTATGAGTTCAGGGGTTCAGGGATGTAGGATTTAGGGATCTTGGGGTTTAGGGTGTGGGGTTTTGGGGTTATCGTTTTGGTTCTTAAGCTCTCTCAGAGCCCGAGGTATTACGATATCCCAGAGAGCGAGTGCCCAGAAGCTATAGTCACCCTAACCCCTATCAACTCCCCTTCTGTGGGTTTAGGTTACCTAAAACAAACCCTAAACCCTAAACCCTAAACCCTGAACCCTGAACCCTAAACCCTAAACCCTAAACCCTAAACCCTAAAACCCTAAACCCTAAACCCTACGCCTCCCTTCTAAGCAAAGGAGGAGCTCGCTACGGCAGCTCGACGCCTCGCCCCAGCCTTCAGCCGGAAGGAGCAGCGCTTGGGGCCACAACCTTTGGGCTTTAGGGTTTAGGGTTTAGGGTTTAGGGTTTGGGGTGTTTGTGCTTAAAGTTGAAACCCTACAATTTAACAGGCGAAGCCCAAACCTTGAACCCTCAACCCAATCAACCCTGAACTCTGAACCCTAAACCCCAAACCCTAAACCCCAAACCCTAAACCCCAAACCCTAAACCCTAAACCCCAAACCCTAAACCCCAAACCCTAAACCCTAACCCTAAACCCTAAACCCCGAACCCCAAACCCTCCCAACGACAGGAGCTCGTGAACACTCTCTGGGCCTTTGCAGTGTTGGGCAACAGTCGCTCCTGAGTCGACCTCCTCGCATGTCGGCGGGAGTTTCGCATGGTTGGGGCCTCATGGTTTAGGGTTTAGGGTTTAGGGTTTAGGGTTTACGGTAAGTCCAGTAAGTAAATCCGTGTAGACTCATAAACGAATGCGGCATCAGTGTTGCGCCACGGAAATGGGCTATAGGGCTGGGCGACTTCAGGGACAAGGGTTATACAGCTTAGGGTTTAGGGTTTAGGAGTGAGGGTTTAGGGTTTAGGGTTTAGGGTACTTCGTGTTGGGAATCTTCGCAGGCTGTAGGAGCTGGGGTTGAAGTTAGGTTGTTGAGGGCCACTTTTTCTCTTTGCAAAGCGAATCTCTGAATCCCTAAACTCTCTAAACCCTAAACCCTACGCCCTCAATCCTAAACCCTAAACCCTAAACCCCAAACCCCAAACCCCAAACCCCAAGCCGCGCTGAGCAAGCCACTACATAGGCCCTTTCTGGCGCTGTCGGGCTTCGAATGACGAGCCGACGCCGCCACGACCGCCTTGGGCATGCTTTCGACGCACACCATCCGCGGCAGGCCTGCACTAAATAAGGGTTGGGTTTAGGGTTTAGGGTTTAGGGTTTAGGGTTTGGGGTTTTGGGTTTATTTAGGGTTTAGGGTTTAGGGTTTAGGGTTTAGGGTTTAGGGTTTAGGGTTTAGGGTTTAGGGTGTTTTTCATGGTGCCACACATTGATATAGGCAGATATAGGGATGTATACCTCTAACCTTGCACGTGCACATTCACATCTAAACAACTCAGGGATGCATGCAGATTCGTGTGTTGTCGAATAGCCTAGATCTTTCATTCCATGGTCCATTGCATGATGCATTACCTGAGATGTTATCACATTCACTGAACACGATTTCAAAATGAACCCCTAGACTAGAAGGGTTACGGTTCATATACATTGTAGTGCCAAGGTTATATGGTTAAGTGGATTTCCAGATGTAGTGGCTTTTATTGTTCAAATACCTTAGTCGGAAGCAGAGTAGTCGAGGGTACATGAGACAAATTTAAAAGTGCATTACCAGTTTTCAGTGTATATCCAGATAGTCTGGCATCTAACGCATCAGCCATACCCTAAACCCTAAACCCTAAACCCTAAACCCTAAACCCTAAACCCTAAACCCTAAACCCTAAACCCTAACCCTAAACCCTAAACCCTAAACCCCTGCTTCCAAAGATCTCAAGCGCAAAGCCTTTCAAGCCCCCAAAAACCGGCCGATACAGCGGGGTCCGGGCGGCTAGAGCGTGGTTGGCCTTGGGAGGGGGTTCAGGGTTTAGGGTTTAGGGTTTAGGGTTTGGGGTTTAGGGTTTAGGGTTTAGGGTTTCGGGCTTAGGGTTTCGGGTTTTGGGTTTTGGGTTTAGGGTTTAGGGTTTGAGATCCTTGAGCGTTAGGGTTGAGTCGCGAAGTTGTGTTGAGGGAAGGTTCCGGCTCAAGTCAACACACTGAACACAGGTTTGCAGGGCCTGTGCACTTCCAGAAACCTCCAAGGAACCAATCCAGAAGCACTTGGAAGTATAGGGTATGGTATGCTTAGTCTGTGGGCTATAAGGGTTTCAAGCTTCTAACAGCGTTGGCTTTTGGGACTTGAGAGCGGTTGTAGAAGGAAACCCTAAGCCCCAAGCCCTAAACCCTAAACCCTAAACCCGAAACCCAAACCCTAAACCCTACGGCTAAGGTGGAGGAGGACATCTACGGCTCGCCAGCGCCTGCAAGAAGTGGAACGCATGAGACCAAAAGAATGGTGATCCTTCGGCTCCCAAAACCCCCGAGATCCCAAGCCCTAAAACCTTAGCAGGCTTTAGGGTTTAGGGTTTAAGGTTTAGGGTTTAGGGTTTAGGGTTTAGGGTTCAACCCGAGATCCCAAGCCCAAAAGCCTTAGCAGCTCTATGTAAGCTCCCTTTCCAATGTTGCATGAACCTTGGGTGTCTAGGAGGTGAAAGGCTAGGGTTGAGAGTTTACGGTTTAGGGCCTATGCGGTTGAGCGGGAAGAACTGTGAGGGAAAATTTGAGGGGATATAGGTGACGCATCCCTAACCCTCCCAGGACCTACTGTAGAGTGTATTGTGTTTAGCTTGCCAGTGTCCCTGAGAAGGCCATGTTCAACCCAAGAAACCCTTAAACCCTTAAACCCTAAACCCGAGAAACCCTAAACCCTAAACCCCACATGTGGGAGCCTTGTGCCCCCGCGAAGATCACAGTGGCGAGGATGATGAGAACATCCGGAAGCAGTGGGATGTTTCCGATAAGCTTGTGGACGAGGACTGTCAAGGGGGGGCTTTCGGGGTTTCTAAGGTGTAGGATTGGATCCCTAAACCCTAGCCCTAAACCCTAAACCCTAAACCCTATACCCTATACCCTATACCCTATACCCTATACCCTATACCCTAACCCTAAACCCTAATCCCCCCGACTCTAAAGCCAACAAAGCCTGCAGCCTCAAGTCCTAGAAGCCCTTTTGAGCCGTGCAGACCGCAGCCTTATCCCCCCCCAACTCAAATCCCTAAGGGCCCTGAAGCCCTTGCTTCTAAGGCTTCCTTGGAGGTTCATGGTACTTACTAACAAATTAAAACTGTACTTATAACCCACTTATAAGCCCCTTAAGTGCCCCAATATGGTTGTAAGTACAGTTATATGTGCAATCATAATTGGTTAATAAGTACCATGAACCTTCGAGTCGTGGTATACTTGGAGGTTCATGGGTACTTATAACCGTAACCTTAAGTCTACTTTTCACCGACTTGAGCTTCGGGGGCTTGGAAGTACAGTTATGACCCTAAACCCTAAACCCTAAACCCTAAACCCTGGGGTTACAAGTACCCTGAACCTTCAAGTGTTTAGGGTTTATAGGGCGTACAGGGCTTCTGGGATTTAGAGTGGTTATAGTGCTTTGTACAGGGGTTTTTCGGCTTTATAGGGTTTATGTATTTTGGGGCCCTAAACCCTAAACCCTGAACCCGGAACCCTAAACCCTGAACCCTAAACCCTAAACCCTAAACCCTAAACCCTAAACCCTAAACCCTAAACCCTAAACCCTAAACCCTAAACCCTAAACCCTGAACCCTACGCCCTGAATTTTCCGACAGATTCCAGGAGGGGTGCCAGCTGCTGACTCTGAGCGGGGATGCGGACAATGGCACCTTTTGACCCCGAGGCTTTGCTGTCCTTGAGGTAGGGTTTAGGGTTTAGGGCTTAGGGTTTAGGGTTTAGGGTTTAGGGTTTAGGGTTTAGGGTTTCGTGCGGTTCAAAGGCTTACAGGGTCTATAGGGTTTAGCGTGCACTGGCGAGGCTAGTCTCTATCTAGCACTGGCCTCTTTGGGTTCATTCTACCACACTCCGTCAAGTGTTAGGTGTACCAAAGAGCCCTCCAAGAGGGTCCATTTGTATTACTATTATGTAATTAGGTACCCCAAAACCATACTAAACAGGGTTTTGGGGTACCCAATTCCATAATAGTACTACAACTGGGCCTAGTTTGAATCTCCCTAAGCCCGAAGCCTAAACCCTAAGCCCTAAACCCTGGGGGTTCTTCGCAGGTCACTTTTGGCCTTGCGCCACACTCCTGTCAGAGACTATTGCTCTGAACCCTGCGCCCTCAACCCGAATAGAGTTGATGGAAAACTTGGGCTGAGGGTTTAGGATTTCAGGTTTTTTCGGTTTAGGGTTGAACCCGAAACCCTATACCCGAAAAACCCTTCAAGCCTAATCCCCTTGGGCCTGGGGGGGGGGGGGGTGCCGCTTGGCCCAGGTAAACCCAACATTGGGTTCTGGCAAGAGATTCTCAGATCTTCCAAGGATGTGGGGGTAACCCTAAACCCTTAAGGCTTTAGGAATGAGAGAAGAATCCTTAAAGAAAAATAGGATCCAGGGTGAGGGTTTTAAGCTTTAAGAGAGAGCTCTTTAAATGAGTTCACAGACAATCCTGTAAACCCTAAAACCCTAAACCCTGTAGTGCAGCTGGAAGATCTGGAATGTTAGGTGTGCCGAGCTTTGGAGAGGGTTGCGGCCGCTTAGGGGCGGGAGGTTTACGGTCTAGCGTTTAAGGTTTTACTCAGGGTTTAGGGTTTAGGCTTACGTAGGGTTTAGGGTTTGGGGTTTAGGGTTTAGGGTTTAGGGTTGCTAGCAAGCCACTGGTTGGCCTTCGGCTCAGACGCAGCAAATCCCCAAGTCCCAAGAGGCCGAAACTCCAAGCCATGTGCGATCCCTGGCCGATAGAAGCCCCTAAAGTTAGCCTAAACCCTAAACCCTAAACCCTAAACCCTAAACCCCAAACACGGATGAGCCCGAAGAGTGCCCTAAGCTTGTCACCATGGCTCGAGGTCATGCTGCGAAGCGGTCAGAACGCCCAATAATGACCCTCTGTGGTGCTTTACCCTAAGGGTCCATGTACCTAATTATTGAATACTTGGGCCTTAAAGTACTTCCTATATAAGGACTTTTGGGTCTAAGTATATAATAATAAGGTACATGGACCCTTAGGGTTACTGTAACTTTAGATCCTTAGCCTTTTTGGGTTTTATTGGGTTTCTTACTCAGGCAGCGAAAACTTAAATTTATAGCTACCCTGCTAAGTGCAGCCAAGGACCCTAAGTTCTAAACGGTTTTTCAGGGTTTGGGGGTAGAGGGTTTAGGGTTTAGGGTTTGGCTGGGTTTAGGGTGATAGGGTTTAGGGTTTAGGGTTTAGGGTTTAGGGTTTAGGGTTTAGGGTTTAGGGTTATAGGGTTATAGGGTTATAGGGTTATAGGGTTTAGGGTTATAGGGTTATAGGGTTATAGGGTTTAGGGTTTAGGTTCAGAGTTCAAGGTTTAGGGGTTCAGTCTCCTGCCCTGGGAACTTGGGCTGGGGCTCAGGGCTTGGCTTGGGGGGTTTAGGGGGTTTGCTCTCAAATGGGAAGATTTCTGAAGTTGCATGAAGGGCCGCCCAAGAAAAGGGTGTAGGGGGTTTGGGGTTTAGGGTGTAGGGGGTTTGGGGTACCGAATCGGCCCTACTTT